AAAGTGTTTTTCCCACGGCACACCTTACACTATGTCACGGCACACTAGTGTGCCGCGGCACAGTGGTTGAAAAACACTGGCATATGGAAGCAAAGTGGCACCAGTGCAGTTTTCAGAGCATATGTGCCTTTCTTTGGGCACCCAATATAGCTCATGTAGCCATATTCTGCACCAATTGAAGTTTCTGAATACCTTTCAAGGGTAGCCCCAAGTACAGAATGTTGCAATAGTCCAACTGGGAGATGACCAGGCTGTGAGTGACTGAGTGGAAAGCTTCCCTATCCAGGAAGGGGCATAACTGGCTCACAATATGAAATTAGGAAAAAGCCCTCTTGGCCATGGATGCACCTGCTTTTTGAGAAGGGGCCGTGAGTCCAAAAGAACCCCCAAATTAAACACTGGGTCTTTCTGGGGTAGTGCAACCCCATCCAGAACCAAAGATAATGAACTCCTGGACACACAAGGGTCCACCATAGCCATTCCATCTTACTAGAGTTCAGTTGAAGTCTGTTACTGGTATTTCCCATCCAGACCCCCACAAAATCCAGGCATTGCCAAAGATGTCCACTCACTTCACCAGGGATGGAGGTCTATAGCTGGGTATCATAAGCATATTGGTGATACCTCATCCTGTGGTGACAGATGATCTCACCCAGTGGATTCATGTAGATGTTAAACGGAAGTGAAGTGAGTATCAAGCCCTGTGGCACCCCTGTGACTATTAACACTGATTAGAACCTTGGAGGAAGGTGAACCAACATAAAACTGTGCCACCCATGCCTAACTTCCCAAGTTGGCCCAAAGGGATATCATGCTTGATGGCATCAAAAGCCACTGAGAAGTCAGGGAGAGCAAGGATGGATGCATCACTTCCATCCCGCTCCCACCAGAGATCATCCATGAATGTGAATAATGCATTTGGTCCCATATCTGGACCTGAAACCTGACTGAAAAACAGTAATCTGTTTCCTCCAGAGTCCTCTGGAGTTGCAATGCCACCACTTTTCTTTCCTTTTTACCTATCATAAAGGAAGAGTCAGTTTGAATTCTATAGAAAAAGCCAAATATTTTTTGGGGGGGCTACACATACGTTAATGCTTGAACAATGGGAAAACATATGGATGTCTAGTTTCAAATTTACGCTAAACTATAATCTGAAATGAAATGTTTAGAAGATGATTTATTGTTGGCATTTAACACCTGTACAACTGTCAAAGTTATACAGTATAAAACTGCCTCAAATGTACACTGAAAATGTTACTGTAAAGAAGGAATTTCTTATCATCTTTATTGTACTTGTGACAAAGAAATATTGGGGCCAGACTCCTATTTTAATGCAGAATATTCTTAAAATGAATATAAAATTTAAACTAGAAGTCCCAGAGATGCTTTTTCAAGAGGCAACTGGAGTTTATAGTTTTTCTTTGAAAACGTTTTGCTTCTCATCCAAGAAGCTTCTTCAGAGCTGAAGAAGCTTCTTTGATGAGAAGCGAAACATTAAAAAAAGACCAACTCCCCCCACACCCGAAAACCCCAAAACAAAACCCAGAAACTCCAGCTGCCTCTTGAAAAAGCACCTGTGGAACAACCATGACCTGGATGACTGAGAATCTCCATAGACATTTAAACTAGAAGCTTTCCTTTTAGAATTATTGGATAAGGAGCATGAAAAATAACCCCTGGAACTTCATTATTATATATGTTGATTACATCTGAGAATTCAAGATGCACAAAAATGAAAAAAAGTCCCCCCAAAAATCCCCACAATGTGATGGAAAAAGTGATGGACCGAGCAGAGATGTCAACACGAACTGTTACAATCAGAGAAAAGAACAGATCTAATTTTCTTTCTACCCGGAAACTGTTTCTGGATTTTCTGCAGAACATTGAACATAAAATTTGGTTCTGCCCATTAGATTAATTTGTTGCTGTAGAAATGTCTAGTATTTACTAAATATGTCCAGACCACACCTGCAAATTACCCCAGTACCTGGGAATAAGGGCGTTACCCGCGCCGTTATAAAGCAAAACGCAGAGTCACCATCACCCGGACACTTGTCGCCAGTACCCTCCACTCTCAGGAGGAGAGGAAGGAGAGAGGCAGCTCACAGCCCGGGTCGGGACGGGTCCTGGAAGAAACTTTTGATGGTAGTGAAGAGCGGCGGTTCCAGCTCTCCTCATGGGCCGCTACACGGGCAAGACGTGCCGGCTGATCTTCATGCTAGTAATGACGTCGAGCTTCTTCGTGACTGAGCTGGTGTCGGGTTACCTGGGCAACTCGATCGCGCTTGTCTCCGACTCCTTCACCATGCTCTCCGACGTGCTGGCTCTGTGCGTGGGCATCGTCACAGGACGCCTGTCTCACCGACGCACACGCAGTCCCAGCGCCTCTTACGGCTCCGGACGGGCCGTGGTGGTGGGCGCCCTCTGCAACACCGTCTTCCTGGTCGCCCTCTATTTCACCATCCTGGTGGAAGCCGTGCAGCGCCTGGCGAGGCCGGAGGCCATCAGCAACGCCACGCTCATCCTCGTGGTAGGCACGATCGGCCTGGCCATCAATGTCGTGGGACTCCTCATCTTCCAGGACTGGGCCTGCTGCTGCAGTCGAGGGTCGCAGCCCCCTCCCTATATTAGCCCCGAGGACGAGAGCCCAACCAGAACCGTCGCTAGCAGCTCGATCGCCTTAGAAGGGATGGTGGAAATGAATGGCAGCGCCGCTGAACCCCTTCCGAAAGCAGGTGCCAACCGGTTGCCTCCCTGCTCGTCGTTCGCAGCATCTTCCCGCATTCCTTTTTTCCTTCCTTCTCTTTCAGCTGCCTTTTCCTTCTCTCTCTAGTCTCCCCACCCCACCCCGTTCCTCCTTCTCTTTAGTTTCACCACCTTTTTTTCCTTTTAAGGACTTTTTAGGTCATAATTTTACCCTTCCTTTCTTATTTCACGTTTCTTTTGGAAAGTGTTGTGTTGCACGAGCTTCTTTCTGCTAATTTTTATTCTTTTCTGATTATTCTATTTGCTTGTTCTTATTTTTACCTCTCATTCCTACTCTATTACATTACATTACATTACGTTTATAATAATGTCAGAGTATTTGTATAATAATTTATTACTGAATAAAGCCAGAGAAATAATTGTATTTGTAACATTAAAGTAGATGAACAGAAGCAATCTTAGTGTCAATTAGTGTTTGTTTTCACAGTCTTTTGATACTATAAATTATTTTTTCTAAACTACAATAGTAGAGAAGAGATTTCAGAATTAATTAGATGTCAGGTTGTATAAGGTGGTCTTTATGAATATTAAACAATTCCATTCAATTTCTCCCCATTGCTTGGTTGGCTTGTAATTATACTACACTGTGCATGTAGAGTGTATGCAAGCGTGAGTCATAAGTAACTTGCTGGTTCTGAATGATTAAGATAAGTTGGTTTTGAAAAGATTTGTATCTTTCTGTGTATAGAACTTATAAACAACACAGTGTTTCTTCTTTGAATGCAGGTGATTCTGCGGATACCCAGAAAAAACCTGAAGAGGATAAGAAACAGAAAACAGAAAAAAAGTCCGAAGCCTTGAACATAAGAGGTACTACATTAGAACTGAAAGATTTTTCCAGAATAAGGCAGCCATAATTAGATATGAGGTGTTCTTATTTGTAGTTGCTCTCTATACAAGATTATACACATTTTTGGAATCTTCATGTATTCCAATGTAGTTATCCAGTTTTTTTTCTGGTTACCAAATGTTTTCCTTATGCTTTGTTTCAGGTGTTCTTTTGCACGTGATGGGAGATGCTCTTGGCTCAGTTATTGTTGTGGTTGCTGCTTCCATATTCTATATACTTCCTCTGGATGAGAACACACCTTGTAACTGGCAGTGTTACATTGATCCAAGCCTGACCATTGTTATGGTGTTTATCATACTGTCTTCAGCCTTTCCACTTATCAAGGAGACAGCAACCATTTTGTTGCAAATGGTCCCCCAAAATGTGAATATGCAAATATTGGGTAAGTTGTTTTAAGGTCTGTTATGACCCTTAAAAGTTGGTGCTCTTTCTGGATTATATCTTCACTGCAGCATTACATGCTTAAGGGTCACTCGGTGATATTTCCTAGCGTCATGACTCAAGTCTTAGAGGATTAATAAAGACACATACAGTATTTTGAGAACAGCCCACATAGGAAGAATGAAGCTGTTGTGTGCAGAAATTCTTATACACATGTGTAGACATTTGTAATCCATGGCTACTAATATAAATAGATTGGTTTATTCTTTTGCATTGTGGATTACAATATCATATTTAGGATATATGATATATCTGTATCTATATTTATATCATATATATCTATATCATAAGTATATCCTTTAAAAAACTGAAGAAAGTACTGTATTACAAAATGTGGATTGATTCAGCAAGCAAATCTCATTACAAATTTCCAGATTCAGAGGAGTAATTTCAAAAATAAAATCTCATAAAGATACACATACATTCCAAAGCAGCCCTGAAATAAAAAATTCAAACATACTACATACTACACAAACATACTACAAATTGTTACTGTTTCCCCCCAGTTTTACTTGGTCATATGATCTTGTGCCTTAGTTCATCCTAGTGTCCTCTAATTCCCATTCAGCCCTCAGAATTCTCAAATTATCTGCAGGATATTAGGCAGCAAAAGTTGACTTTCTTCTGTTTATTCCAATATAATTATTAATGCTGGCAGGAGGAATTTCAGCAGGTTCCATCCAACAGCCTCTTGTCTCCTTATTTCTTACTTGGAAGCTGTTGCAATAGTGATACATGGACTCATTGTTTCAGCTGGGGCTGCTTTCTGTTATATCAGCCCTACATTATTGTACAGCCTGAAAAGGTTATGACTAGGTTCTTATGCCATCCATTCATTCTTTGTGATTGTAGATGCAGTTAAATATTAAATGGAATACTGTAGAGCCTGGATAAAAAACCGATTTTTCACTTTGTTTGTATTTCTTCTTCTTCTTCCTAGCAAACAAATTATTGGAGGTGCCAGGCGTTAGCAGCATTCATGAGCTGCATGTCTGGGAATTTATCAAGGGGAAAAACATTGCCACACTCCATGTCAAGTGTCACTCTACTTCTGACTACCCTGTTGCTTCCTACAAAATGAGGGAGGTGTTCCATGAAGAAGGGATCCATTCAGTAACCATCCAGCCAGAGTACCTAGACCACAATTGTCCCAAGGTCCTGTGCAGTACACCATGTATCTCCAGATCCTGTGATCCTCAGTTGTGCTGCAACCAGCGGGATGCTCTTCTTTCTCAGATGAATGGTTACAGTGAAACAATAGGCAGCTTTTCTCCATCACTGAAGAAGGTCTTCCAAAAAAAAGATGCCGTAGAAATTCCTGTTGAACCCACATGGGCAGAAGACATGGTAAAAAAGAACAGTTGTTCCAAGGACAGTTATAAAGAAAAAAGAGAAACAATACCACCAATAAATAGCACTCAATTTTAGACTTTTGGGATAAATATATTCTAAATTATTTTGTCTCAAAAAAAAGTTGGGGAGCTTCCTTGTAGAAAGCTTCCTGAGTTGAAAAAGAAGTAGCTGTTGGCGTGTGTTTGCCATTTTTCTGGGACGCAGCAGTTGAAAGTTGAATACCACGTTGAATACCAAGTACTACAACTAAAACAGATGCCATTGGTTTCTTCTAAGGTCTAGATGAAATGGGCAGCCATTTTCTTAATGTTGGGCAAATAACCAATGCCAACCATATTTGCTACCCTGCCCTGCAAAGAGAAAAGGATAAAGCATTTATTCAATGAGCAGAGGTATCTTCTGCTCAGATCACTCTTCAAACCTTGTCTTACTTGATAGGTCTGCATCTTTCAGATGCAAATAGAAATCTCAAGAAGGTTGAGATTTCTGTCTGTTTTAATGTATTAATTAGGACGCAGATTGCAAGCCTTACTCCTTTATGATTGTCCTAGTTTATGGCATATCTTTATTTTTCACTGAACTTTGTTTTTCTGTTTCCTTGAGATAGATTAAAAGGAGAAAAGTGAGGAAATAGGCCTCATAGATGTAGGGAATAAAAGAGTTTAATCAGCAAAAGAGCCAATCACCCTTTTGTGCTTGACAAATGACATATTTCTTACTGAAACTTGAATGGAAATGTTCAAAATATTTTATTTTCTCCCCTTACTGTCTTTACATTTTCTTCATATTCCAGAAATTATAAAATGCTGGAATATTTTTTAGAAAACATTTGAAATAGTTTATTGGATTATATGCCATGAGAAATAAAATGTGAGTTTTTCAATGTGCACTTATGTCATTTGTATTAAATTAGCAAAGAAGTAGAGCTGCGAGAAGTAAGGATTTTCATTTGTCTTAGGCAGAGTAGAACAATCCTCTGAGTTTGTTTTAATAGAGTAATCCTATGGTACACTGAGCTTTTCCAATACTGATTCTCTCTCTTTTCTTTTGTAATATGGTGCTATTGAATAGTTTGGGTTTTTTAAAAAAACTATGGGACTTCTTTCAAGCCGTTTTGTAAAAACATTTAGATCTTTAGAACTTGCTGGCCTGTTTTAAACCTCAATCTAAATAAATATACACAACTGTAAATCCTTTAAATACCTCCTTTAAATTGTAGACATATAAATTTTTGAGTGTGGCTGAATGATGATTGTCCTTCTGCTATCTTGAGTATCTTTCATGTTTTAATTTCTTTAAGTTTTTATTGTTATTTATGTCTGATGTTTTTCATATTGTGGTAAGATTTGAATTACTTTGCTGTCCAGAGGTACTTTTTGTGAAATGGGTGGCTATATTAATTTGCTAAATAAATATAATATAAATATAAAATTGCTAAAAAAAATTGCTAGGAATATCTTACAAATTATTTTAGAAATGCAGCTAAAATTCATAGTATCTGGCTATCAGGTGGTTTACTCCTGATGAAAGAGGTGGGGATGGAAGAAAAGACTAATTCATATAGCTGCCTATATAATTTACCCCTACCCAATCAGTACACTGCTCTTTTGCCTTATTGTTATGGACAGCAAATGTAACCCTACTAAACAGATTCTGTGTATGATATCAAAGCTGTATTTATTTTATTTCATGTTTTGTTGAATGTTATTAATTTCACACTCGGCTTTTGCAAGTTGAGGATTAGGAATTTAGACCCCAAAAAAGTTCTGAGCAAGTTTTAATGAAACTACTGGCAATGAACATTGGGTATCACCCATGAAATTAATGCTGCTGTTTGAAATTAATACTGTCCCATGCAAAATTTAATGGAAAACAAATGATTGTAATTACTGCCTGTGTACTGAATTTTCTTCTCATTTCAGTTAATGTTGGTTGTATTTGCACTTTTGTAGCATAAACTGGGTTTATGAGGACCCGGATTGTTGGGGGCAATATGCTGACTCTTAAACTTAGAGAGGGCTGTGAAGCACTGTGAAGCTGTATATAAGTCTAAGTCTAAGAGCTATTACTATTAGTATGTGTTCAATAGAATACTGTTTTTAATTTTGTGTGTGTATGTATGTATGCCTATTTATATTCCCTTAATATAAATAGAAAATTTCTTCTTCTAAAACCTACATCACTTTTAAAAACTATTGCATGAAACATCTCCAAATGGGCAATAATGCTTTGTTGGGATGGTAGCCATTATTGTTTTTAATTCCAAAAGTGTATATAATAAATAAAGAAGTGTTGTTATTTTCATAAATACAGAATGCTGTTCTGTATTTTATATACACCACTTATTTGGACTTTTTGAACTGTAATTCTTAATCAGAGCATGGAAAAAGAGAATAAACAACAGACTTGTAGAAATATACAAATAAAAAGGGACACAACGATAACCAATTTCAAATTCTGTATCAGTGAAAAATGCCATTACATTTACAAACTGCTCATAATAAAATATAAAATTTTACTACAAATTTCTAAGTTTGAGTTTGATCCATGCCAGATGAGACCAAACTGATATGTAGTCTATTATTTAATCTGTACAAGTTGGGGGCACCCACCAAAATTTGCACTTTCCAGAGAAAAGTCATCTTTTGATTGTTAGTGTAGTTTTGATCTAACTTTTCTCAACCACTTTACACAAATTTACTGAGTAAATTGGGCTCTGGTGCATCATATGTTTTATGCCCAGTCCATGTATGCTGCTTTCTCAGTATAAGTAGCCCTTAGATCTTAACATTTGTTTTTCTGTAAAATTATTGATCTACATATCTGGTATTACCATGGCTTTATTGTGCTGAGTAGATTTACAACTGCCATTTCATTTAGGCAAAACTTGTCACAAAGGTTATTGATTTATTTATTGGCAATGCCTTATATTGTTCAGCAATTAAGACTACTGAAATTTGAATATAGCTCCATTTTACCACCTAAATCGTGCATGTTGTATAACAAGATTTTTCTCTCTTCTTTTTGGTGGAGCTCCTGATGGCCTTGATACATTTATGATATCAGGAGAGGTGCAGGATTTGATTCCTGTGAGAAATTGGAAGATCCAAAATCTATAAAAATCTTAAATAGAATATTACAAAGAGTCCTGCAAATGTAATGACTTTTATGAATGTGTAGTATGTTTCATTATCACATTATGGCTTTTAAATATAACATTTATGAACTATATATGACGAAGTATCATCTTTGGAAAGCATCAACTTCACTAAATGAAAGTTTATGTTATGATTTCCTCTAAAGTCACTTTTACCTTCTATCAGGACAGCACAAAAAAACCCCTTCGAAATTGAAATTTGTTTGAAAGTTTGAAACTTTAATTCTGACAATTTATATTGGTTTTTAAGTTCCAACCATAATATGCACAATTGTTCTTTTGTTTATGCACATTATTTCTTGAAAGTGTCATAAAAGTGCAATATGTAACACTGTTTTAAAAGTTTTATATAAATAAAATGTTTTTATGTGCACAACTAATTTTGTTATCTATTAAATAAATATTTTTTAGAAATATCAAGCACTATTTTTTTCTTTATCTTTTTTCTTCTCATTTATAACTGGAATCACACTTTTTGGAGAATATTTTAGGAGGATATGTACACCATTTTACATGATATAAGAAGAGCTTTGCACCCTAGTGTATTTATCACATTTCTAGCAAAATGACCCCTATTCCCTCATAAATTTATTTCAGCACCTTCTCATTTGAAAAAAAATATTCCACAAAGACCCGAGAATTTAGATATTTCAAAGTTTTGAGTAATTCTGTTGATTTTTACTTCGGGAAAAAGTACACCATTTTCTTCAGGGTTTAAAAACACTACTGTTTTTAAAATAACTGGTATTTTGTAGCATAAAAATAAGACATGATTAAATGGAAGAAAATGCAGGTGTAATTTTCCAGAGTAAGCTAGGATCGTTCAGCCTGCCCTGCTGCTCCGCACTTCTGGAAGCTCAGCTATTGACTAAGAAGCTGCATCCCCTGAGACCAGTTTCTGGACCTGTTGTGGAAGGTTTCGGTGCTGGATTTTGGCTTTGCTTTAGCTGAGCTGCTTCTCACCCAGAAAGTGTCTCTGCCTGGAGCAAAAGAGTGGGCATGCCTGTGAGAGGACAGATGTGGCTTTTTGGGCTTATATGGTATTCTGCCTCTGTTACACATAAACCTTCCCATGCTACCTTCATCATAACACCAATGTGTTGAGATAACAAATGGACAATTAAATGAATTATGTGGGGTGGCACAGGGCTCAGTGCTTTCTGTTTTGTTTTTTTTAAACATCTGGCAAAAGTAAGTGGCTTTCAATTTGGAGCCCCACTGCTCCCAGAACTATATTATCTTTGGTAATAGATGATAGTTAGGACTGCACTATCCCTGACAGACCAGTACACAATCTGGAGGTCCTCCTAGAGTCACGACTCCTGTTTGTCGAACAGATGGTTGTTGTGGCTAGGAGTGCCTTTGCACAGTTTTACCTTGTAGTTGCACTTGTTCCTGGATTGGCAGGCCCTGGTTACAGTCACATCCTGGTCACTTCCAGATTGGATTATGACAATGTAATCTACATGGGGCTCCCCTTGAAGAGTATTTGGAATAGAGGTGGGTTGCTAATTTTTGTACTACCGGTTCAGGTGTGCATGTGCAGAAGCATCTGGGCAGGTGGGTGGAGCCTCCTGCTGCCATTACTACTGGTTCTCCTGATCCGGGCCGAACCGGCAGCAACTCACCTCTGATTTAGAAGCTTTGGCTACTAGAAAATGCAGTGACTTGGGCAGTTATATATGCTCTTAGAACAGCATGTTACACCTCTGCTCTGTGAGCTGTGTTGTCTACCAGTTTGTTTCCAGATACAATTCAGGGGTCTAGTGTTAAGCCCTTCATGACACTAGAGTGGGCTACCTAAGGGACTGCCCCATCTGAAAAAGAAGGCATGCTGCCGGTACCATTGTTTAGCGACCTACATTTGGTGGGTCCTAGGAGGCCTGGATTTTCTGCGGTGGGATCTGCCTTATGGAACACTCTTTTGTTCAAAATTAAATCAGCTTCATCTCTTTTGATATTCTGACTGGCTGCCTATCCTTGGTTGGAAACCAGACTATTTTTGATGTTGTAAGTTGAAGCAACCCTCCTCAGTTTGTATCCCATATTATTTGATGAATTTGAGTTGCTCTTGAATCTATAAGTCAGAGGTGAGTTGCTCCCGATTCGGCCCAGTTCGGCCGAATCAGAAGTGGTGATTTGGCCTGGGTTACAGAATTGGGAGCGACCCAGGCTGGCCACGCCTCCAAACTGGTTCCCCGGTCTCTTCCGGCATGTTTCTGTGCATGTGCAGAACAAATCACAATCAACAGTGCATGCGCAGTGGGTACGCACGCAAAGCGAACTGGTACCAACTAGAATAGGAACCCACCCCTGCTGTAAGTATATCATATTAATAAAAGTGAACTGTATATCCCATCTAATTAATAACCAAAACATTCAGTTCAGTTTGATAGTTCCTTGGCTAGGCTTCAAAATATTTAGAGACCGTAGCAGCAATGATGTTTCAATTTTAGTGCCTGTAGTACCATTTCATGTAGTAAAAGTTTTCTAGATTATACAGCTTTGAACTCATTATCCCATGGTATACAATATAACTATAACTTTGTTTGCCAGGATTTGTGAAGGCAGAACATAATGTTGAACTCATTCAACAGTTTTTGCATTTTAAAGGGAAAAAATGTACATTGATATTTTACTTCATTCAAATTGCATGCACCCCGAAGGAAGAAATAAACACTATTTTTTTATTTTTGGTAAGAAGATGAGAATTGTGTAATTTAGAACAAAAACAAACACTTTTTCAGGGGCTGAATTAACTCTTTCATAAACAGAGAGCAGACAGTGGACAAAACAGTGCTGCAGTTGTTTCATTGAAATTAGTGAACAGGTCTGATGGTTTGAGTGGGGGAATTAGATTTTCTAGATGATTTAAGCCCAAATGAAGATCTACAGACTTGTTTTTTGTTATTCTGAAACACAATAGGAAATACATCTGTTTTGGTGGAGTTTGTCACTGAAATTGACCAGTGAAATTTTTAAAAAATAATTAGAACTTTACCAGTATTGGATTGCCAACTCCGTCCAGACTTGCCAATTTTGATGTCTAGGCAATTAATCAAAATATTACTCCATCCTACTAACTTATCAAGGTGAAACCACTGAATTGTGTCCTATTAGTTGAATCATTTAAAAATTCACTGTCTAAAATCACTTTGTCCCTTTCATTCATTTAGTTCCTTCTTTCTATACAATAACTTGTTGTAAAGGAATCTGCTGACTATTCTAAAATACAGAAATAAAATAGGAATGAAGTCCTACTTTTATTCTCTTCTTTACAAATAATGCAAGTTTAAATCCTGTGTCTACAATTAAAGGCATAGTATGAAGTTGAACTGAAAAACAACATTTATTGATTGTTAACTAGTCATGAGAGAACACTTGTTGCTTCCATTAAAGAAAACTTTTGCAGGGTGGCTTTGCAGTTCTAAAAATGAAAACTCTCTGTACATGCAGTTTTTAATATATCATTTCGGATATTATAACTATGATAGAAATGCTTGTTGACTCTTTTTGTTGCCTGCTATTTGGCTTTGACAATCACATTATTAAAATCTACAAGTTGAGTTTAAATGCTGGTAAAATCATGAATGCATCCATGTAATTTCTTGGTAACCATTCTGAAATTATTGACATTTCATATATGTTTAGAACTATTTAACAAATAAGTACTAACCACTCCAACTTGCTTAACTTTAGAGCTTTAACTTAGGGGAACTGCCAAGATAATCATCTTATTCTTCTCGGTAATATTTTGTACGTGACTTTGAACAAGTCAAGAATTTTCAGTCTTTCACTTTAGGGTAATTATTAGACCAATACAAAGGGCACAAATATATGCAAATTTGGAGAAATTTCAGATTTCTTCCTTAAGTTATTACAGAAAGATATGTGCATATGTGAATGTGCCATGTGTTTTGGGAAACAGTGAAAGAAGTGAGAACAATTAATCAGTGGAACAGCATGTCTTCTGGTTTCAGAGAACCAGAGCTCTTAAATGATAAGTATAGAGGTGGAATTACCGAGAAGAATAAGATGATTATCTTGGCAGTTCGCCTAGCCAAAGCTCTAAAGTTAAGCAAGATGGAGTGGTTAGTACTTATTTGTTAAATAGTTCTAAACATATATGAAATGTCAATAATTTCAGAAAGGTTACCAAGAAATTACATGGATGCATTCATGATTTTCCCAGCATTTAAACTCAACTTGTAGATTTTAATAATGTGATTGTCAAGAGCG